TCCAGGAATTTGAAACCAGCCCAGGCAATATAGCGAGACCCTATCTCTAGACAAAACTTTTTTTTTCCTTTTTGGAGACAGTCTCACTCTTGTCGCCAGGCGCCAGGCTGGAGTGCAGTGGCACGATCTCGGCTCACTGCAACCTCTGCCTCCTGGGTTTAAGCAATCCTCCCACCTCAGCCTCCAGAGTAGCTGGGACTACAGGCGCATGCCACCACCCAGCTAATTTTTGTATTTTTAGGAGAGACAGGGTTTCACCATGTTGGCCAGGATGGTCTAGATCTCTTGACCTTGTGATCCGCCCGCCTCGGCCTTCCAAAGTGCTGGGATTACAGGCATGAGCCACCTCACCCAGTGACAAAACTATTTTTTAAAAATATTTTTCTGTATTTTTCTCTATCAAAAATAAATAATTACCTAGATGTAGTGGTGCCCACCTGTAGTCCCAGCTACGGGGGAGGCTGAAGGAGGAGGATCACTTGAGCCCAGGAATTGGAGGCTACAGTGGGCTGCGACTGCACCACTCCACACCAGCCTGGGCAACACAGCGAGATCCCGTCCCAGAAATAAAATAAAACCAAACAATATGTAATGTCAGGGAAATACAGTGTTAGGTAAAAAAGAAACCAAACACGTATTATGTGCTGTACTGCCAATTCTGTACACACACACACACACACACACACACACACACACACACACACTGCCATGTGCAACATAAACAAGGAAATAATCTTTGCTTGGCTCCAAAACTCCTCATATACTACAGGTATTTTTCTAGCTTCCCTATGTCATTTCTATTTTCCAAGTTATCTACCGTAAACATGGTTTATCATTTTAGAATCAAAAGCAAATGTTATTTCAAAAAATAATACAAACTACACCTTACTCTATCCAAAGAAGTTGCTGCTGGAATCTTGTCCTTTCTTTCTGCACCCGAATAGTTAGAAGTAGGCTGGGCGTGGTGGCCCAAGCCTGTAATCCCCAGCACTTTGGGAGACCAGGCGGGCGGATCACCTGAGTTGGGAGTTTGATACCAGCCTGACCAACAAGGAGAAACCCTGTCTCTACTAAAAGTACCAAAAAATTAGGCGGGTGTAGTGGCGGGGCATCTGTAAACCCAGCAACTAGGGAGGCAGACGGGGGAGATTCGCTTGAACCCGGGAGGCAGAGTTTGCAGTGAGCTGAGATCATGCCACTGCACTCCACCCTGGCAACAGAGTGAGACTCCATCTCAAAAGGAAAAAAAAAAAAGAAAAACGAAGTTGCTGCTGGAATCTTGTCCTTTCTTTCTGTACCCAAATAGTTAGAAGTGGTCAAAAGGCAGAAGAGATTATAAACCAGGAGAATGGAAAACACACATCCACACAAAAACTTGTACAGAAATATTCAAGACAGCCCGACCTGTAATAGCCCAAAAGTGGAAACAAGCCAGCTTGGCCACGGACACAGGGATCACCACACCGTGTCCCCTCCACACACTGCAATCTGACCCAGCCAGGAAAAGGAATGGAGCCGACCCAGGCCGCTGCACAGATTCACCTGAGGACCTCATGCTCAGTGAGGGAAGGCAGGCGCAAAGGCCAGGCAGTGTGTGATCCCATTTCTACGAAATGTCCAGGACAGGCCCCTCCACAGAGGCAGGAAGGGGTGCGTGGATGCCAGGGGCCAGAGGAGGGGCTGCAGGGCGACAGCTGATGGCAACCAGGTTTCTTTTTGGGGTGAAGGAAATCTCCTGGAATAATGGTAATGATTGCACAATTCTGTGAACACACTAAAAACCACTGGATTGCATACTTAGGAAGGAAAAAATCTCATGGTGTATGGATTAGAACTCAATTTTTTTAAAATGCATACTGAAAAACAATTATATTAAAGAAAGGGGCTGGGTGCCATGGCTCACACCTGTAATCCCAGCACTTTGGGAGGGTGAAGCAGGTGGATCACCTGAGGTCAGGAGTTCAAGACCAACTTGGCCAACATGGTGAAACTCCATCTCTACTAAAAATACAGAACTTACTCAGGCATGGTGGCGGGTGCCTATAATCCCACGTTCTAGGGAGGCTGAGGCAGGAGAATCACTTGAACCCGAGAAACAGAGGTTGCAGTAAGCCGAGATGGCACCACTGCACTCCAGCCTGGGTGAGAGTAAGACTTTGTCTCAAAAAAAAGGCAGGGGAGGGAGAGCAGGCTGCCAGGCGGGCATGAGAGCGAGGGGACGAAGGGCCAGCCCGCCACAGTCCTCCCCTACCTTTAGCGCCAGCGTCTTCCTCTTCAGGCCGCTGTTGTCACTGCTCTTGTCTGAGTCTGAGTCGCTCTCCATCCTGTCGCTGGCAGCTGTGGCGGTCACCGTTGTGACAGCCATGACCCCCCGGTCCTCGTCGTCCTCATCAGCATCACTGCCACCGGTGGGGTTGGCCTCGGGGGCCTCGCTGTCAGAGGAGCTCACTGGCTGTGGGAGTTGGGGCAGAGACTGTGCATCACCACCTGTCTTGAGTGGATTCCCTGATCAGGACCGTGACCCAGAGGACACAAACCAGACGCACGACCCTGAACATCAGGGTGCAGTCTCCTGGTTTTACAAATGGGGAAACTGAGGCCCAGAAAGGCCAAAAAACGAAGGCAGGAGAGTGAGATGGATTCGAGTATGGTGGGCACTGGGTTCGGGCCACAGGCTTCAGGGTTAAACCTGGGGCAAGTGACTTCAACCTCTCTGTGCCAAGTGACTTCAACCTCTCTGTGCCTCAGTGACCACATCCCGGCAATGGGGATGGCTGTTTTGACCTCAGAGGCCTGTGATCAGGAAGACGTGGAAGTGGAGGTGGAGCACCTAGGACAGTGCCCAGACCATGGCAAGAGGTCAAGAAATGCTTGCTGCCAGGTGCGATGGCTCACGCCTGTCATCCCAGCACTTTGGGAGGCCGCAGCAAGCAGATCACCTGAGGACAGGAGTTCGAGACCAGCCTGGCCAACGTGGCAAAACCTCGTCTCTACTAAAAATACAAAAATTAGCTGGGTGTGGTGGTGCGCGCCTGTAGTCCCAGCTACTCAGGAGGCTGAGCCACAAGAATCACTTGAACCCGGAAGGTGGAGGTTGCAGTGGACTGAGATGGTGCCACTGCACTGCAGCCTGGGCGACAAGCAAGACTCCGCCTCCAAAAAGAAAAAAAAAATTATCAAACAAAAAAGCCGCATTCTCCTGGTGTGATGACCAAGATGGCATGCGACAGGCTGCAGTGGGCACACACGGTGGCCGGGAGAGAGCGAGGCGGAGGAGATGAGGGTGTGAGAACAGGTGAGAGGCATGTCAGGGGGCTCACGGGCAGTGAGGCCGAGAAGGACGGGCAGAGCGAGGCCCACATTTGGGCCCGGGTGTTGCGGCCAGGCCAGAGGGAGCAGGAAGGACACAGTGCAGGCCACACCCGCGCAAGTAGCGTTGCCGGGACAGAACGGAAGTGAGGGCTGAGGAATGTGGGTGTCAGCGCTGGTCAGGAGAGAGGGCCAGGAGGAGGGAACCACGGCCCTTCCTCAGTTTCCCAGCTCCCTCCCGGCTCAGCGTGTTCCTCCCTGGCCAGGAGCCCATAGTGGGCGCACACCATCCTCCGCGCACAGATGCAGGCTAACGGTCCCCACTCAGCACACCAGGAAAATGAGAACTGGGTGTGCGGCGCCCTCGCTGCTTGGCAGTGAGCATGTTCTGCCTCCCTTGTGTGGTCATGGCCCGTGGCACAGTGACAGGGCCCTGTCTGCATAATTTTTGACAAGATTAAAAAGGGTAAGACTAAGTAGGTCAGGCCCCAAATGGAGAACACTGAGAGTAATAACGCTCTCAAGGTGGGTCTCCACCACGCCTCTCCCAGAGTCTTCGGGGGAGGGTTCGCACACCTGGGGTTTCTCTTTGGAGCATCCCGGGTAAGGAGGGAAGGGCTGGGGGTAGGGAGAAGCGGCTCAGAGAGGAGGAGACCCAGTCTCCTTCCTGGTGGCCTCCTCCACCCAGCTCCACCCCTGATGCCCCAGAATCTTACACAGGAGGAGCTGGTGAGTTCCAGCAACCTAGGAGCCACGGCCAGTTGTGGGACGTATCAGTGCCCCATATAACCGCTGGGAATGACCAGTCCAATTTTGCAGACGAGGAGAAAGGCAGAGAGAGGTTCACTAACAGCTCAGGATCACACAGTGAGTAACTGCAAACCTCAGATGCAAGCATGGTCGGCTTTGGCACTGAAGCCTGGACCACAGCTGCTCCTCATTAAAAAGGCTTCTCTGGTTGGGCGAGGTGGCTCACACCTGTAATCCCAGCACTTTGGAAGGTCGACACAGGCAGATCACGAGGTTAGGAGTTCGAGACCAGCCTGGCCAGCATAGCGAAACCCCATTTCTACTAAAAAATACAGGACTTGGCCAGGCGCAGTGGCTCATGCCTATAATCCTAGCACTTTGGGAGGCCGAGGTGGGTGGATCACCTGAGGTCAGGAGTTCAAGACCAGCCTGGCCATCATGGAGAAGCCCCATCTTTTTAAAAAAAAAAAAAATACAACACTTAGCCGAGCGTGGTGGCACACGCCTGTAGTCCCAGCTACTCGGGAGGCACAGGTTGCACTGAGCTGAAATCACGCCACTGCACTCCAGCCTGGGCAACAGAGCAACAGTCCGCCTCCAAAAAAAAAAAGAAACAAAGAAAAAAAACAAACCCCTCCTTTCTTTTGACCAACTGTGACCCACTCTGTGCCTCTGCAGCCCCATCAGGCAGTTGGGAAAACCGTGCATGTCCCATAGGTGGGGAAACTGAGTCTCTGGGAGGGAAGTGACTTCCTCTACATTGTGCATATGGATAAAGCCAGGACCTCTGGGTGTCCTGGGGTCGAACTGCCTTACAGCAAAGGTTTCAGGAAATCTAACCCACATCAAGAGGTCCAAAGGACACGAATGCTGGAGGTACAGACAAGACCCCAGCAATAAAAGGCCAAAGCCAGCCAACTTCCAGTCCCCCGGCTGAGGGAGTGAGGAGAACAGCTCATTTCTCTCGCTGTCTCTTCAGGGATCAGCGCAGGGGGGTGACTAAATTGGAAAAGGCAAGATCAAATCCAGCTCTGCCTCCCTGTTCCCAAGTATCCCCTCCACCGTTCCCCAGAGCTTCCTAAGTGTCACCGTGCACCTTCTCACTGGATTCTCCCAGGAGCCCACTGAGAGGCCAGCACTTCCAAATTCTCAAGATGAGGAAACTGAGGGCCAGTCACAGTGGCTCACGCCTGTAATCCCAGCACTTCGAGAGGCTGAGGCAGGAGGATCACCTGAGGTCAGGAGTTCCAGACCAGCCTGGCCAACATAGTGAAATCTCTACTAAAAATACAAAAATTAGCTGGGTGTGGTGGCAGACACCTGTAATCCCAGCTACTAGGAAGGCCAACGCAGGAGAATCACTTGAACCCAGGAGGTGGAGGCTGCAGTGAGCCAAGATCACGCCATTGCACTCCAATG